TGATGTCCTGTTGCCAGCTTGAGAAATGATCTGAGGAGGTGTGAGTTACAGAGGTGATTTCATCTTGCAGAATTATGAGTTTATAATGATCCTAAAATTCAAGAGGTCAGCCAGAGGGAAATGATGAGGTGAATTCCTTTTTTTGCCCTCTTTAAATGGTGGAGGATCAAGAAGAATCTCTCCAGTGTCCAATTTCTACATTTTCCAATCAGAGAAAGGGAAGGAGAGGCAGCAGAGACAAGGGGGTGCTGAGGAGGTATGAATTTCAGAGTTGACTTCATCTTGCTGAATGATAAAATTCTGAAGATCATGAAATCCAGGAGGTCAGCCAGATGAAAAATGTAAATTGTCTGTGAATGAGAAGGAAAACCATAACTTTTATATATACCTGAATATTTTGTCATGAAAATTTAGCTATACTGTTATATTGCCACTGGGCCTAGGCCTGTGGAGTATAGGCAATAACTATGAATTATGGATATTATTGCAGATGCTTTTCTTTCCTCCCTCCCCCCAAGTTGTTAGCACAATGGAAAGAGCACTAGATTTGAAGCTAGAGGGCTAGAGATCAAACACCATTTCTGTTACTATGTGTGTGACCTGAATGAGTTATTGACAATTTCTGGGCAACAGTTATTTATGAAATGAGTGGGTTGGATTAGGTAACTTCTGAGGTCTTTTATAGTTCTGAATCTAAGACCCTATGATCCCACATTTTTTTGTGTGTGTCATGCTGTGACTGTTTTTCTCTTTTGTTCATTCAGTTTCTCATGCTATTATTTATAGTCTAAATACCTGTCTCTCTATCTATCTATCACCGTCTATCTCTAACCATTCATTTAGCTACATATCTGCTAACTACTTATAACATACATAGACATAATGGTTTTTTGATATTTATATAAGCCTGCATTTTTCCTCTAGTTTATCTTTAACAAAAGGCAGATTTGTTGACACATTTTCAAGCATGTCAGTAAAAAATGTGACCCAGGGAAAGGTTGATAGGTACTAGGTTCTAGGTGGTGACATTGCTGACAGGGTGTTATTGTCTAGGATGCCACAAACAAAAGGGAGAGGATCCCCAAGACAACCTTGGAATCTGAGTGACCAGCAGAGGGTTCTACTTGACATCCCACAGGAGTCACAACAAAAGAGAGAGCTAGATCAAAGTGAAATTTGTTTTTAAAAATGATAAAAAGAAAAAGACTGATAGTTAATACAGGTGGGAACCAGCAAGTGAAACATTAAGATAGAAAATTAACTACCTTAAAGTCCACCCTCTCCCTCACCCAGTAGACCTATCTCTGTGATAGGTTTGTAAAAGAAAACCTCTCTCTGTAGCCTATTTCTTAATTCTTTGGTTTGCTGTGTTTTGGGGAGAATGATGGGTCACTGGTTTCTCAAGGAAGACTTATTTCCTGTCTAACCTTTTGCACCCGTAGTGCTACACAATCTATCCAGCCTTATCCTAACAAATGCCCACTGGGTTGTTGCAGCCTTTTTTACTGTCTCACAAACAACAATACCATTCCTACTGCCAGGACTTTGCTCCACTCCCTCCCCACCTTCACTGGGATGCCACTTGCTATTCCTGAAGGCTTTGAGATTTTACCCATTCTTCCATGCCCAGGTTTCTTCCCTGAAAACTTTCCAGACTATTCCATCCCTCATTGATTTCTCTTTTCTATCAATCAACCAATGAATATTTATTAAGCAACTAGGCATTGTGCTAAGCAGTATGTATGTAAAAAGAGGCAAAAGATAATCCCCGTCCTCAAGAAACTTGCAAGGGGAGAGATGACATACAAACAAATATAGACAAAGCAAACTATTTACAAAATAAGAAGGAAATAATTTTAACTGAGGGGAGGCCTAGGAATTAAGAGGGGTTAGGAAAGGCTCCTTGTAGAGGGTGGGATTTTATTGAGACTTAAAGGAAGTCAGGAAGGTCTGGGAGAGAATTCCAGGCATGGTGGATGGCCAGAGAGAGCCTAGAGCCAAGAGTTAGAGTGCCTTGTTCTGCGCTATTAACCTCTTCATTCTATATAATGTCCACTACAGTTGGTTAACTGTTATTTCTTGTGTATCTTTCACAGAATCAGACTTGTAAAATCAGAGAATCTTATAGTTGGAAGGATCTTTAGGGAACACATGATCCAAGAAAATTTCTGAAAAATAATTTCCTCTACAAGATAGCAGACAGTCTACCTAGCCTTTGATGTAAGACTTCTCCATCAATCATAGCTAGATTTGCATACCGCTTTAAGGTTTCCAAAATGCTTTACAAATGTCACCTCATCTTATCTTCACAACAACCATGATAGGTAGGTGCTATTATTTCCCCCATTTTATAGATGAAAAAAAAAACTGAAGTTAAGTGTCACGCAGCTAATAAGTGTCTGAGGCTGGATTTGACTCAGATCTTCCTGACTCCAGTTGTAGGACTTTCCCCCCTGCACCATCTAAGCATCATACTCCATCTGGGAGTAGATTACCATCCTTTTATTTAATTCTAATTGTTAAGAAATGTTTTTCTTGATAACAACCCATAATGTAACCTTAACCATTGCCTTCTAGATCCAAGCAAAACCAGTGTAATCTAAAACCAATTTTCCATATGAAAGCCCTTCAAATACTTGAAGACAGCTATTATGCTCCTTCTAAATCTTCTCTAAGCTAAACTTCTGTAATTCCTTTAGTTACTTCATACATGGTACATGCTCAAAGTACTTCACCACTCCGTCTCTAACTTGTCATTGTTCTTCCCAAAATGTGGCGCCCAGAAAACACAATACTTCATACATGGTCTGATCAGGGCAGAATAGAATGGCACTCTCACCTTCCTAAGCCTGGACACCATGTTTCTCTTTATGCTAAGAGCAAATTGGAATTTTTGACTACCATAATACCTAATTGCTTTTTTGTACTCAACTGTCCACAAAACCCCAGTTAGTCAGATGAACTGCTGTCTAGCTATGATTTCTCTATTATGCACTTGTGAAGTTTTTATACTCCAAGAGAAATATTTTATGTTGTATTTTTTTTTTGCTGGGGCCATAATTTGATCACTGTGGAGAGCTTCCAATGAGTATCTGCTCCCAGTGCAGATCAGCACTTAGATTGAAACTTTAGGTCTTTGCAAGCTGCCTGGGGCACTTAGAAGTTAAGTGATTTAGCCAGGGTCACACAGTCAGTATGTGAAGAAGTAGAGTTTGAGCCCAGGTGATCCTGATTTGGAGGCCAGCTCTCTATCTACATGCCTGCTGCTTCTTTTTACATTCAACTTCAAAAAAAAATGTAATTGAATTTAGTTGGCCCAAGGTTCTAACCTAATGAAATATTTTTGGAATCTGAGTCAGACATCAAATGTTTATCTTTGTGATATCTGCAAATGAGATAAGCATTCTATCTTGGTTTTCATCTAAGTCATCCTCAAGATAAAATAAATTCAAAGCACTCCTTAATCTAATCCTCTCCTTATTTTCTAAACTTACCTCATATTAAAATGAACTCTGATCACACTGGTGTGCCTTTGAAAACACCTTGCACTTTCTAGCCCTTCACTCATTCTATTTTCTGCAGTTTCCTACTTTATATGTTATATTCCTACGGATCTTTTAGAGCCCTACTCAAATGCCACCTGTTCTATGAAGTATTCCCTGATACTTCTTCCCTCCCTATAGCACTTATTAATTAATAAATCAATAATTTAATCAACAAATGTTTTTAAGTGGCTACCATAAGCCAGATATTATGCATGACACAAGAGATACAAAGCCAAAAATAAAATAGATTATTCTCTCAAAAAATGCATCCTTTTGGGGCAAAATGCAGGTAAATGTACATGTAAATGAAAAATAAATATAAATTAATTTTGAGTGAGAGAAGGAACTAGCAGCTGGCAGAAGTAAAGAAGGGCTTCAAGAAGAAAGAAAATTTTAAGCAAAGTTTTGTGTATAACGTGCATCTGTGTATATACATGCATGTATACATATGTACATATATATACTAGGACATATATATATATACTAGGACATATATATATATATGTATATACACACATACATACACATATATGTCCTAGTATGTGACAAGCATATGAATTAAAATCCTGATGATTTTGTGACTTTTCAGAACATACAAGGTTTGGATTCAGGCATATGCTGTCTAAATATCCAACATTTGAATTGATTTAATGTGTTGGGAATTAATCCTTGAGTTAAGGACTGTTTTTCATTTTATTATTATATCACAACTGCCTGTCCTCTGCACACTAAAGGCAACACATAATTGTTGAATTGAACTGAATTGAAAAGGAGATAAATAGATAAACAATGAGGTGGGAATTGAGGGAACACAATCACTTTCCTTTCATTTGAACCCCTCCTTGCTCCAGGCTTTCACCAATGTTTGGAGGGTAGGGGTTGTTTCTTTCTTTCTATTAGTACCTACAGCACCTAACTCTGGTTTTAGCACAATGTAAGTGCTTTAGAAATACTTATTCATTGATTGACAAAACAAAGGAAAGAAAATTTTTTTTCTAGAGAGGATGATATGTTTTCCTTACTCTGCACCTTTCTACCAACCGTAAGAAACAAGATAAGAGCTACAAATATTCCAAATTTGACATAATTTCAACTAGGAAACTCATGTTGCTTGGCTTTCCCAGATTCTAATGTCTCCCACAGCTTCCATTCTCAGTCCAGGACACAAGGAAACAAATTAGTTTTTATAGCCCGTTAGGAATAATTGCCAAGAGGGTTCCTTTCAGGCAAAAAGCCCAGTGCCTCTGGAATGCATGTTACAAAAGATAAGAGAAACTAGCAATCTCCAGGCACTTCAATTCAGCAACAACATGTATTTCCTAACTAGAAAAGTTATCTAGGCTTGAGGTAGTGAGGAACAACACTGTGTAAGAGTAGAAGTAGAAGATTATGTAACTGCAAGATTATGTAACGATTGGATGTGGTGGGTGAGGGGAAGTGAGGAGTCAAGGGGGCTAGTGCTGCTGTACACATGAGTGACTGGAAGGTTCATGGTGTCTTCAACAGAAACAGATTCGGAAGTGAGATGAGTTTGGAGGGAAAGATGCTTCTTGTGGTTTTTGTTTGGAGTTTGAGGAAGCCACAGGACAAATCCAGGTACAAGCAACTTTTATTAAGGTGGCTAAATGAATGGTTACATTCAAGGCCAGTTCTACTTTAACAACACAAAATTCCAAAAAATGTACAGAATAAACTGAAATGACAATTTCATTGTCATGTATTTCAGAACACAATGTGGGTGGGGGTAGGGGAGCGAGAAATCCTCACAAAGAAAATCTCACTTCTTCATTTACTAAATGTTCATTGAGTTGAAATGAATGAAAAATTCTTGATATTCCAGCAGTAATTTTCAAAGATCATCACTGCTCTGAACAAAAGATCTTTGACTTCCTAGTGATTAGTCCAGGCTATGTTTATATATGTATCTGTGTTATATGTATGTGTGTGTTTATGTATATTAGGGTTTGATCATAGGAAGGTGCAGAGAATAAGTCAGTCTGTATTGTAGGATATTTTGGGGCATTAGTTTTGTTTTTTTTCTGAAAATTTGTGGCACATGTAACTCTATACGACTCCACATTTCTTTGGTTTGTTTGCCTTTGTCTAAATGTAGATGTCCCCTTCCCTCGAAAGACACATGGACAAATTTAAGCTGGTACTGAGTCTGTGGTGTACTGTGCCAGATATTACAGGAGGTCAGCAGCTGGAGCTGTTTGTAGAACTCTATGAACTTCACATTTCTTGATACTTTCTTGCATCTGATTTCTATTTTATGACTTGTTACAATGTCCTTTCCTTCCCCTTCCCCTTTTCTCCTTTCGTTGTTCCCTTTCCTTTTCCTTTATCTTTGTACTTTCCTTGCTGTGTATATTAGATTAGTTTGTGTTCAATTTTCATCCTGCTAAGTGTATTTTGTAGGGACTACAATGTCATTGCTTTATGGAATGACAAAGTAAAGTTATGCGTACATGTTGTGGGGTGATTATAATTCCACTTATACTTGTAGTTCAAGTATGTAGATGGCAGCTGTTCACTTGTCCCCTTAATTCTAGGGGCAGCCTTGAGGGGTGGGTGTGTTTGTGTGTGTGTGTAGTTTTTAATTCTATAACTCTTTTTTTTTCTTTTTAAAATTAATTTAGTTTTAATTTTCGACATTCACTTCCATTAGCTTTTTTTGTTTTTTGGTGAGGCAATCAGGGTTAAGTGACTTGCCTAGGGTCACACAGCTATTAAGTGTCAAGTGTTTTGAGCCATATTTGAACTCAGGTTCTCCTGACTCCAAGGCCAGAGCTTTATCTACAGCGCCACCTAGCTGCCCCCACTTCCATAAGCTTTTGGATTTTTATATTTTCTCCCCCTCCCTCCTTCCCTCCTCAAGAGGGTATGCAATCTGATATAGGTTCTACATATACATTCGTATCAAATATATTTTCGCATTAGACATGTTGTAAAGAAGAATTAGAACCAATAGGAGGAACCACAAGAAAGAAGTAAGTCTGTAACTCAAGTACCTACAAGTATACTTCTTTCAATAATTACCAGTCAATATCTTTCGTCAGTTAGACTTAATTAACTTTTGTTCAGTTATTCAGTTGTGTCTGACTCTTTGTGACCTTATGGACCATACTGCCCTTGGGGTTTTCTTGGCAAAGATACTGGAGTGGTTTGCTACATCTTTCTCCCAAACAGGTTAAATGACTTGCCCAAGGTCACACATCTAGTAAGTGTCTGAGGCTGGATTTGAATTCAGGTCTTCCTGACCCCTGGCCTAGCACTGCATCCGATGAGTCATCTAGGTGTTCCTAATTAACTTTTAGAAATAGGTATATTTGGTCATGGAGTTGGTAGAAAATATTCCCTCACCTTCAGGTGATACACTGCTCAATACATACAGAGTCCTAGGGAAAGTGGGCTTAAGCTCAGAATTTTTTATGGCAAAAGGTGGTGGGGAGTGGGTGGAGTAGCTGGAGTATTTTTTCCTGGAGTCCTTTAGGTGTTTCCTCCTGGGAATAGTGTAGTTTTTCTGCTGGGCTCTTTGTAAAGTTTTTTTTTTCTTGTGCCTTTCTTTATCACATCCACTCTATCCTTACTCTTAATGTAGATGTTGTTGCCAATGAAAAAGTCCAAATCCTCAGGTCCTTTGAAGTTCATAATGTCCTTCTCTTGTCAAGAGGAGAGGGGAGGAGACTGAAGCCAAGGCTAAGTCACTCTCTTCCCCTCATAAGCAATTGCTTTTTGAAGCCTTGGCTGGAGGGTATTAAATAAGACCTACAGAGTATGAGCAAGTGCCTCAAAACCATTGGAACTGACTATTTTTGCCATGTCACTTTTGTGCATCTAATGACATCTAAATTTTTCAAGGACTTTTTATACTTATTCTAAAGTCTGCAATTGATTGATTGATTCAGTAGGCCTTAATCACACTCAGTAAACAATTGAGATACATTCTCATCTTGTCATGGCATCAGGACAAAGCATCTTGCCACTTTAAAAGGTTGAAATAATTGTCTAGGCTAACCTCCACCCTTACTACCTATGTAAGCTCCTTAAGAGAAGGAATTGTTTCATTCTTTGCATTTATATCACCAGTAACTAGCATCATTCCTGGTACTTAATACATGGTTGTTGATTAATGATTGATTGATTATTCTAGTAAATAATGAATAGGCAACCAGTAACACTGTTAGAGCTAATTTCTATATGCAGGATGCCACCTTCATTTGAGATCACTCCTGCTCTGAATCTCTCCCCTTCTTCATCTCCTATCTTGAATGTTAGCTCAGTGAGGCCAAGGATTGTTTCATTTTCCCTCTTTGTATCCCTAATGTCTAGCAGCTCAATGCCTGATACATAGGAGGGGCTGGATAGATGTGGATTGATGGATTACATGCCCAGATGCAATTTAGATGGCAACCAAAAGGATTCCCATTCTACATTGTACACACACACATACAATATAGTTAGACAAACATAAGTACAAATTTTCAGGATCTGTTATTTGTTCCGTATGGGTACTTACCCCTATCAACACAGATGGCAATGTATTAGAATGGGGAGAGTTGTTGGATCTGAAGGACCTTAGTTAAAATACCATCTCTGCTCTTTATTATCTATGTACCCTTGAACAAGTCCTTTAACCTTCATGTCTTGGTTTCCTGATAAGTAAACTGAGAAGGATGAGCCAGATGATCTCTAAGATCCCTAGCAGCTCTAAGGCTATGATTTTAGTAGATGGCATTCTCTATTTGTTGTGGCTGGAAACTTCAGCAGTCAACTTTGTGAAGAGCCTTTTTGAACTTGGCTAGCCTAGGTATCAGCCAAGAAACATACTATCTGTTAGCAGACTTATATTTGCTTTCGTTCTGCCACTGAACTTCAATGACTCAAGAGAGGAGAGAGAGGCTTATGACTTTGCACAAGTCTGCCTCACTTAAATCCAACTGACACACAAGACAAGAAATAACCTGTGATGTCATTTGTCCTCCTCAGAAATGAAGGACAAACAACAGCAACATGAGCAACAACATGCTTGAGATCTTTCCAGGTTGGTGGGTCTTGCTAAAACTTGGGATCTGCTGACATAGTTTTCAAGAACCCAGGGTCACCTCCAAGTCACAAAGAGTAAATATCAGTATAAGACTTTAAGGGAGAATATATACACACACATGCACATAAACACATATTTTCAGTTCGATTATCTTGTTTTTTTCAGTACTTCTGGGATTGAAAAAAAGTATTATGTATTTTCACTGTTTAATTTCTCAGTCCATATGTTTATTGCATTTTTTTCTGCTTGTCTTACTATTTTTTCCTATATTACAGTAATCCTCACATGCCAGAAGTATTCTGGTATATGCCATTCACCTGACACATCCTTCTTGATGTGACATTTCATCTGGATGCAATTGCATTATTCCACTATTTGCTTCTTTATCATACACTAGAAATGTGAATGTTGGTACCTGTCACACCAACATCCAAATCTTAAAAATACATATTATAAATATGAAACTTCAAAAATAATCACCGATTTACTGCTCTTACAACCTCCTTTCAGCTTAAAACCTTTTAATTTCAGCTGACCTGATATGAGATGAGGAGGCAAGAGGATGGGGCAAAAGGTGGGGTTACCTTTAGACGGCACTTTTGCTTGGTAGTTTTCCTTTTGTTTTCCTCACAATCAGCCACCTTTCTTTTCTAGCTAAGGCTGTTATTTGCAGGGGTTTGATAATGAAAAGTTAGCAAATGTATTTTGCCTGAATCATATCAGGTTCAGTTTATCTAACCTGAGCCTGTGTGAGTTGAATTTCTAATAGAGCCTAACCGTTTTCATTATCATCTTCTTTTAGTCCAGAAAAAAGAAAGGTGGCTTTGGAAATTAAAACAAAAATTGGACCACAAATGCCACTTCTGGGCAGAGTGGACACCTTCCACATTGCTAAGACTTTATAAAGCACCACCTCCACATCAACACAAAACCTTGACAAGGCCATGCCCCAGTGACTGGGGGCAGATCTGCTTTTGCAGTTTCATTTATTCGTGGCTTATGGATTCTCCACAGAGCTGAGGCTGTAATGCAAAAATGTTTCTTTGTAGAGATTTTGAGAGTTTTAACATTTGAGAAATGAGTTATCTTGGCATGCAAATCCATTTTTAACTGTGAAGAGAATGGAAAAGAGTTGAATATTTGAAGCCTCAAGTGTATCCCCACTCAAAGAAGCCAAAACAACTCTCAGGATGATTACTGCCCACAAAAAGGGCACAAAAATGGTTTTTCACTGGTGTGGTTTACAAAGACACGTAATTTTCTCCTAAAATTAAATATATTTCCTTTGAAGTCAAGAGCTTTACTTTTAGAAGCTTCTTGTGTCTTGAGAGCTCATTCAAATTTGTTTGATTTTCTTTTTAGTGTCAAATGTGTGTTCTAACATGAGGTAAGTTGACTACAGTTTGGTCCAATGGCCAAAATCCATATTATATGGATTTAGTATAGGCATTTTTGGATGTCCCAAGGGCTATAGGGGCCCAAGTGGGGGATATTTTCATCAGGATCTCCACCTGTATTTTTATGCATGTTTTCAGTGATCCACTGGAGA